GGGGTCCGGGGTCCGGGCCCGGGCCCGGGCCCGCGCCCGGGCGGGAGCTGCCGGAGCATTACGTGGACAGGTGCAAGGAGAGGCAGGAGGGAAGAAGGAGAAAGGGCGTTACCTGAGGGTTAGACCTGCCCAGACACACATGAAAGAAAAAAAACAAAGATCTGACAGTTTTACTCCCTGTTTCTAAAACGCTAATAAAATGTACATGCATTACCCTTTCCTTTTATCGCTTCAGCTACAAGGAGGGGAATTTCTAAAGAAATTGGCATAGTCAGGGAGGTGTTTTCCCCTCTGCAAATTCTCCCTCACGTTTAATTTATCATTAATGTGACATGAAACTGATCTATAGCGTTTGGGTATCGACACAAGGTCTTAAAAACAAAAATAGGTAGGCCCGTGGCTTGGGATATTTTCAAAATATCAGTATTTTCAAAACCTGCAGAGATGAAGAAAGAAAGAAAGATTGAGAGATGGCTCATCTAATCCATCCTCTTTGGGGTTTTGCATTGGGCCCGTAACCAAAGTCGGTGAGCACCACAAATTAGCAGTAATATCATTTACTGAAAGATCTCTGTTGTCTTTCTACAGTGTTTTGGATCAATTTAGGACTCTGCTGTCCTGTTCCAGATGAGCATATGCATTTTTTTCATCCCAAAAGTAGAACGCATGCAAATGTATTGGTGGAACACATGTTTATTATTAGCAATGGTAAAACAACGGTATATTAAAACTAAAAGCTTGACTTTTGCCTTCTTTGCTGCTTTTTCTGTAATGTCTAATGAATATTAGGGCTCAAACTACACGACCCATCTTAGCGTTCAAGATACGCAATGCAGTTCCTTGCCAATGTTAAAACACGGTATTAGAGTATAAAACGCAAAGATCTTTCATAGTTAATTCTTTCAAAAGTTTGAGAGAATCGCTTGGCGGTTTAAGGTTTCATTTAAACAAAAAAGTTGCAGAGAATCATGAAAGATTAGTTCTCCCGTCTTGCTCCGTGGTCTTTTCAGTCACAGTCTAAATCTGAGAGATCAAATGGATTTGACTGCTTAGCTTTATTTGCTATGGAGAGTATAGGGCTAATTAATTGGCAGGTGCTTTAAAGCAGGTAATGCTACACCTTTTCATCATTGCAGTCCTAAGTACTGCCCCTGTGTGCACCTGAATTATAAAAAGGCTGCTTTAAAGCAAGTGATTTACTGTGGAGGGATTTAAAACTGAAAAAACGAACGCTAAATACAATGATCAGATAAATCACCTCAGAAGAGAGCACAGGCGGACCTGCTCTGAAGGCAGTTACAGATAGATGTTATATTATTTTGCCTTTCAGATAACAGGAGCCTGTCATGTGGTGGGACCCTAAAATCCACCATAATCGAGATTTCAAAGCACATCTGTGTAAACATTATCACATCAGTGTAAAACATCAACCAATGAGCTTTCTCTTTGAACCAAATCTACTTAATTGCAGTGCTAAATCAAAGAAATAGATCAAAGTTGAATAATCTATATGGCACCTATTTCTCAAGTAGCCTGTACAGTGATTACTCAAATATACCTAAAACGTTTGAAACACGTATCAAGTATTTTTATTGACATGACTGGCAGGTCAAGATCAAACTGTTCACCACAGCTGCTAAGTTGCAGGACATGCGCTAGGATGATACAGCTAAATGGAGGAGGTATAGTCTTCTAAGCCTAAAGATGCTCCACTACAGACAATGTTGCCAGGTCCAAGCAGCACTCTCCGAGTCCTACAAACAGCAGAGGGCTCTTCTAGTTAGATGGCACCACTGTCCCCAGTAGAGAAGGTTTTTTTTAAAAAAAAATCTTCAGCCATCACACACTGGAAGACCCTTATGGCTAAATCTTTCCTGTTATATAATGGAAACATTTAAAGTAGAGTGGAATATATAATGTCGATCTTTTCCGAGTGGAGTCTTTAATGTCTGGGCACTAAACCGGTTATAAAGTACCAGAAAAGAAACAAAAAGATAAGAATTTTTTTGGTGTTTGCACTAGTCATGTGACAGGAAAAGATAACAGTAAAGTTGTTTTTTTTTTTTTGCACCTTCTGAGACTATACTATGGGAAGTTAAATAATTTTGAAGAGTGTTTTTACAAGAGTACATAATTCAACTTAAAGTATACAGTACAATCTAATCAACTCTACGTATACTTCCTAGAGACCGCACTTTCAGTGTCGTTGAACAAATACATATGTGGTCGAGTTTTTATTTCCATAGCAAGCAGTTAGGGCTTCTATAGACAATATAATTACTGTATATTTCCTAAGAATAGCATATTGTCATAGGCAAAACCTGGTGGCTACCAAGGGAGTGGAGAAAGCAATGGTCTGAAATCTTTGATAGATAGTCTATTTATATATGTGTGCGTGTGTATATATATATAGAGAGAGAGAGATCTATATATCTATCAGGTTGGTTAAAAAAAAGTTGTTCACTGTAAAACTTTGCGTCCTGCAATTTATTCCACCTTTATTAATTTTAGAACTCACTCACAACAGTGCTGTGCCAGCCATAAAATTTTAATGATGTAATAAAACATTGGCTAGGAGAATGAAGGGGGGGTTCATGAATACATGAGAAAGCAAACACAGGGTGGAACAAAAACCACCGAGTAGAATATAAAGGAATATGTCCAGCTGGAGATACCTGCGTATCATGGTCGTTTCCAGGTTCTTCCTAGATTTGGATGAGAAAACATGGCTGGCTGCTTTCAACAAGATGAGCAGAACATGCAGAAGTTAGTGTGAGCGCCTTTCAGCACACTACAAATCTGAGTAAAATAAGGTGTATTCTTGTGCAGGATTTACTAGGAAGAAAAGAACGGAATCATTTTCAAGGCTCCATGTACAGATCAGGTCATAATCTGATTATCTAGAGCCTTTTAAATGCAATACATACAGACTTTAAAAGCATTCAGAACTTCTTCTTCTGAACCGATACAGTTACAGGTATGTATGCATGTATACTTACATGTATATATAAATATATCTACCTACTTACAAAAACTCAGATGAGGGAAAAGTAATGCTGAAAAAAATTACTTTTCCTATGGAAAGGAAGTTCTACATTTCTTGCACCTGCATTTTTTATTTCTTTAAATGAAGACAGAAATTCATAGGGCTTTTTAAGATTCATTATTTTATTGTTCATGTTTTTGTGGATACACGAATGGGACAGAGAAGCTAGGTAGCGAGCACGCGTTTACATCCAGTTACATCCAATGAGAATAGACCTTTTCCACATATATCAACATTCAAATGCCTCATTTGGCAGCTTCTGTGTTAGTTCTGTAAGTGGATCATTGGATAAAAAACACCTTGATTTATTTAAATTACATGGTTTCTGAACCTGCGCACATAAGTTGTGCAGACAGCTTACGGTTTTTGACTTGCTGCACAAATAAATTGCGCTCTTGTTCCTAAGCAAACACCTCACCAGGGAAGTTCTAGCTAACATATCCAGGTGTAAGTAGTTACAGATGTGTATAGGATTTTTTGAAGTGAAAAAAAGATTAGCCTAAAGGTGTTATTGAAAAGTCATTAAAATGTGGCTAACCGATTTCAGGGAAACAACGTGAACAGGGAGATAACTCACGGTTCATGTCTACAGTTTAGGTGACTGATGAGTCATCCAGCAAACAGGTTTACTTTGGGACACTACATTGACCAAAAGTGGTTTCTTTTCCAATCAAATGGAAAAACTAGACTTTTTTAAAAGGTAATTGTATTGGTGAATGATGTCTCCTAATGAGGCAGCTAGAACTGAAAAGATCCAAGAGCCACGGTCTACAAAATTTTCCAGACTGGATGCTTAGTCATCTAACTGCAGGAGAAATACTTGCGTTTCAGTCATGCTAAGCATCTGAAACTATTATTGTCTTGACACCTCAATATTGGCCTTTAATAAAAAGGCCTTTTGTCATTTAGTACAGAGATGTAGCTCAGATTCGGAGACAAGACTTTCGCTTGGGAAACATGCATATAACATAAATAAAGCAGTAGACATTAAAAAAATCAACCAAAAAAAATGTTAGTTTTTAACAGATGGGAATAAGGAAGTCAAGGGCATTACTTGAGGGATTAATTGGCTTACGGTATTCCAAAATACAGAAAGAAATGCAATAACTCTATCATTCACCCCAGATACCTGCCTTTCCAGACATAGCTCTGAGGTAATTCAACCTTGGCCATGATAACAGTTGTATGATCTGTCAGATTGTCGGCTGACAAACGTGGCCACAGTTCCCCCTTGACACAGTAGCATAACCACTGAAATGTTTCTTAGAAATTGAAAATGCATAAGTGTGTCTTAAACCTATTAAAATGAGTTATAGTTTGTGTTTTTTCTGAAATCTTGTTCATAATAATATACAAAGCCATCAAAGATTTAGGAAAAAAAAAAACTGGCTGAAACTTGGGAAGAACATATTTATATAAAGAAGAAAAAGACTGAGGAACAGCAAATATGCTTGAAATAGGGGCCAGGAGAATCCCTCTTTTCTGAGAACCTGAGGTGCAGAGAGGGGCGTTGGAGGGAGAGGTCAGATGGACCTGGGGAAGGCAGAAGTTTCCAGCCTACTGGTATTTAGGGAATTAAGTATTTAAATTGGGTCCCAACGCAACAATGCAGTAAGCAACCGTAAGCAACCACACAGAAGGAACGTTATGTAGATCAGTCTAGGAATGGTAAAGGACAGCATTACTCTCTCGGTAAGTTGTTCAGCTCCCTGTTTCACATTTCATTTCTAAAAACTGTTCCTCGTGGGACTAAGTGCCACCTATGGACACTTTACAGCACAGTTCAAAAAATTATGGAATAGTCCGCCAGACTATTTGTCAACTTTCCATAAATTTTAAAATCGAGGATTTAATATGCCAAATGTTAGTATCACAGGCAACGCTGTTTAATTTTTTTACCTGAAACAATCCTTAAGCTTTTAGTTTCAGCTGTATAAAGGGTATGCACCAAGAGTTTTCAAGGTTTTGGAAACGGTCTGGGACTTTACTAGGTTTTACAGGACTGATGGGGTCGCAGCAATCTTCATTCTAGTAAGGATAACCAGGATCACTGGATGCTTTTAATAAAGGCTTGGCAGTAACAGTGAACAATCTTGATGCTGCAGCCACCTCCAGCCTTCAGGATTATGAGGCAGATGAGGTATGGTTGGAAGCTCTTCCTTCCCCTAAGGTAGTGCTTCTAGGTTTCTGCAGACATATTGCTGAGTCGTGCGGACACACTCCCTTGGGAGCAAGGTTGTGAAAACACAGGGTTAGGCTCTGGAGCACGTTACTGAGCACACACGGCGCACGCTCTGTGTGCCAGACTACAGCGAGGCCCACACACGAGCTCTGTCCCCACTCATGGCAGTTTCCATGCATCACCCTTCCCAGGCACTTTGGCTTAAACTGCCCGGATTCAGGTCAGTGCCCGTTCTCAGTATTTGGTCTAACCACCTCGTATCTCCACTAACTTGGCTGCAGCCCGCCGCAGGCAGAAAATGTCCCGTTGCCTGCTGCTGCCTGACCCGAGAGCCGGGCGCGCCCCACGGCCGCCCCTCGGGCACCCCCGCGGG